AAACCAACTAAATTATTGACCAACACAAAAAATCGCACCCACTGCTTATAGGGCGATTATGTTAGGTGTGACGGGGATTCGCACCCGCGACCCTCAGATTGCGAGTCGAGTGCCTTAACCACCTGGCCATGCCGGGCAATTGTGAAGTGATATACTAGAGAAAAGGCAGCTAGTCAAAAGCATCCTCCGCCAATTCTGGGATACTGATCAAATATCATGATCATTCCTCTTACAGGCACACCGACGGCCCAAAGATACGGAGCGAGTTTTTGGAAGAAATATGATATGAACTTTGAATTCTAGGATTCATAGTCCGGGCACGCTAATCTACTGAGCCACCCCCGACCCTAAAACAAGTCGGTAATTTGAAGATTAATATTCATTAAATAATTTACTATTGAAAATATGGTTTCTGCTCGCATTATGGAATGCTATTAATCGTGTATATCGTTTACAGTAACAGATTTTATTAGGGGTCCACAACAGAATGAAATATTAAGTTCTGACAACGTTTACAGTAATATATCTCATCATACGTATAGTTCACGGAAGACAATATTATTGCAGACAACGTTAACATTGGAGATAGTTAGCACAACAAGTATCATTCACACCAAAGAGGAGCATCTTTAGCACAACAAATATCATTCACACCAAAGAGGAGAATCTTACCTGAGGAAAAGTTTTGTAGTGGCACATGGTTGGTGATCGAGTCAACCATATCATTAAGATCATAGATTCTCAAGAGTTCTTTCATTGTAGACTCCGCGTAATCTCGCATCGTTGAAGCATCCACAGTGCTAGCCACGCCCTCACCCCCACTAGAGTCGGGTCCAGCAGCTTGTTGAGATCCAGGAAATCTAGTTCGTGGTAAAACAGTTTGTAATGCGTTAAAACGCGGAGAAATAACATGACCTCTGAAACTTCTATGATTAAGGGACGAACCATTAGCAGTTCGGTTATTTTTTGACAAATCCACAGCCTCCATGTTTTGTGAATAACGCTGCCAGGAATTACATTTCCGAGTGGTTAGGTCAACAGGAGAAATATCATCCTTATTCGGATGATATTCATTACTGACAGCAGGGATTGTCCAATCATTTGTTAGGTCCAGAGGCTGTTCTCTGTCTCCTACCGAGCATTTACTTGGGATTTTTGTTATAGGTTCCTGATTTTTCACTAGGGATGTCTGGATCCGACAGGGACTAGCATCACTTCTTTCAGACTCTACTCCAGAATATTGCTGTGAATCCATTGAATCCATTGCTTCACAAGATGGAGATTTTTTAACTTTCTTAGTAAAATTGTAATCTGAAAATATATCATTATCGGAATCGCTATCATCATACTGATAGACTATATTTCGTGGTTGGAAATTCTTCCTTTTGTTACGCCTAGAAGGTGATATTGGAGAGTCAAACCGAGAATTCGATCCGAAGTCATCAGCTTCGCTTTCTCCTGGAGTCTCCACTTCTTGTATATCAACGTCTTGGGATTCTTCTGAGGAAGGCATTTCGGAATTATCCTCATTACAAGAGTTGAAATCGTAATTCCCCTCCTCTTCTTTATAGTTTTGCTCCATTTCGGTTTTCGCACTTTTGGAGTTCAATTCTTTGTTGAACGGGCCCACGAGATGAACAGGGTTCAATGGACTACCCGCATTTGGGGATCCAGTGGTTTCACGACCTTCACTTACCACCATCCTTTCTTCGTCGTCGGTGGCTTCTCTCTGCGTTTCTTCGGGGTTTTCTGACTCTTTCTCTTGTATGTCGTAAACTGATTGTAACTCCAAGGAGCGATTTCTTGTCCGTGGATTAGCTGCTATTTCTACTGAAGTCATCTCTTTCAAGGTTGGCAAGGTTAGTACTTAGGCCTGTCATCTAGTTGCCGAGATCGATGAACGTCCTACAAACACGGGAAAAAACCACAAATGATTAAGTACAATGAACACAAAAAGTTAAAATTAAAACCACAAAATCATATAACTTGAGATCCAGTTTTAGTTTTTATAACATTTAACGATAAGCCAACAGGAACTATTAACCCCGTAATTGAATTAATAATAGAATTTAAAAAACAACCATCTTCAAACAACCAGATTTACCAAGGACAGAGAGTTTGTTTGTTATTAAGTTCAAAGTTCACAATAATATATATAAGTGTTGTTCACACGGCAAAGATCGAATCCTGAATTTGAGCGTTACAAACCTTCAAGCTTACCGCTGGGAGGCGAGGAAAGGAAAACATACACAATATCTTTATGTTCTTCTAAAGTGTTAAATTTCAGTTTTTTTGTGTTGTTTTTTTGCATTTAATACTATAATTTCAGCTTGAAATATGAATATTTCCCACCTATTTCTTGATTTTTTTTCAAAATCAGCTTTTGCCTGCTGGTTGTCTTTGTTTAAAAATTGTAATTAGAAATAACTAGTGACGAGGATTCGAATTCCATCATCGAACATGCTCGCCCTTTATAATGTGATGGTAAATTCCACTTTTCGTTGGTAAAAGAGTAACCCCAAAGTTGGCGATGAGTGGTGTTGACTAACTGCCTTCCCAGTAGTCTATCACATTAAAATTTAAGAGGATTACCGAAGACAGCCCTCGAGTAGCTTTGCGCGAAAACCCTAAAGGAAACAAACAAATCTAATTGAAGTCGGGAAACCTAGTAAATCTGATTACATGTACTGCAACGTAGTCAAAAACTTGGGGAGTAAAAACGGTTTTAACCATTCCATCCCGGGGACCCCTTTAAATACTTTTCTGCGCAAGTAATTGAGGTTGTTTGTTTGTTTGTTTG